TCTTATAAAATTTGCGGCTGGAAAGACATTTATATTTCTGTTAAACAAGAATCCTTACCATCTTTCCATATGCTGACGACAAAGGGATCTGTAGAGTTTTGGAACAAAGCAACAACATTTTCATTCAATGGGTCCATATTTTTCATGAGCCATTGATCGGCTGAATAATCGACGCGACCTGCATAGTGGATTACAGCAAAATCAGACTTCGCCCGCATCTCAGGAATAACAAACTTTGGATGCTTAGAATGATTAACAAATAACTTTTCGACGAAAGACTTATCAGTAGCTTTAGGAAAAAGGCACTGTTCATCCAATAACGCAAGGATACCCATAGGCTGAAAATTGTAAATCATTAGAAAAGTTTACAAAGATCCTTCTAATCCACTATTTATCCACAATACCTTCTCAATTAAATCTATAGTGGGTTGCAGATCAAGACCAAAATCAATGAATTCCCAATCTATTCCCTCTTTCTGGTACTCTTCTTGTTCCAGTACGAACATGGTGTTGTTGAACAACTGTTGAAGCTTTTCATTAGTGTAATTTATGCAGAGCTGTTCAAAAGAATTCAACTCGAAAATTTCAAACCTGAAATATTAGAGGATATTTGCCACTCTTTGAAATGTGACTCAATAATACAAGTACTTCTAATAACTGAAGACAAGAAAGAATAGGATGAGCTTCTTATTTATTTTAACAGTCTTAACAAAGCTTACTCACCCAGCAATATCTAAGACGTCAATGAATGCTTACTCACCCAGCAATATCTAAGATGCCAATGAATGAAGTTCCTTGTCGCCGTGTTCTGTCCAACGATTTATTCAATCTTCCCACTAACCAACGGAACATCTTCTCATAGCAAGCCTGGAACCAATCTACATCCAAAACCAAAAGCAATGGATTTTGAATGGTATACTAATATACTAATTTTAAAAAAATTCCCACTCACAAAATAAACGAATTCAGCAATCTCATAAAAAGCTGAAAACTTCCTGAGTTTTATTGCCATACCTTGCTAATTGCCTCAACAGCAAACTCAGCTTGCTCCTTATTCTGAGCCTTGTGCACGTACTCCCTTCCGACTTTGATACGCGGTCTTAAGAACGCCTTTGTAAAATCAACCAAAGGCAAACCCAAAAGATGGCAGAGCTTTTGTGCAACTAAAAACCCCGTTAACATTGGGAATGGTTTACAAAAATATCAATTTATTAACCACTATCGGTAAAACAATTTATAAAATTGAAAAATATTCCTCTTTCTATTGCCTTAAACAGATCAAATATTTATGAAAAGAAAAAGTACGACTAATCACACACCTCTATCGTCAGGAAGAACAGCTTGATCAGACTTCTTTTCTTGCATGAATTCCATGTTACCAAACAGGAGGACTGCCGATACCATTCGTAACACAGCTAAGAACACAGAAGTATAGGGTAGTAAAGTTCAGTTTAAGCAAAAAAACTTGTTAACAAGCCATTAACAAAGAAAAGTGGAAGAAACCACTTTCTGAAATTAGATCAAAAAAAACTACAGGTTATTTCATCATCGTGGAAACCCATGATCTTCATCGAACGTATGGTGTTGTGGAATTCAGAAGAATCATCCACATTTGGTAAAGCGAGATAACCATTGTTAAGAAAGCGATATTTATCAACGTCTTCCAGCAAGAAGCTTCCTAAAAAAAAAAAAATAAATCAAAAAAATTAATACTCTAAAGAAATATTATACACAATCAACTAACAGGACCAGCAAAAGAAATCTGCTGCTGCAATTCATAAAGAACTGAAAACGCAATAAAACACTGCTACCTTTTTCAGCAGTTGTTGTGCCACGCAAAAATTGATAAAAAATATGGAATGATCTCTCTTCCGCAGCCTGACGTAGTGTCCTGGACTTCTCAAGCAAATAAAACTCGATATTGGCTCCGGAAATATAACCCGACATGTCGAAATTAATCCTGATAAATTTCCCCTGAAAAAGAATTAGAAAAATGAAGTGTAAATGACAACAATGATAATACAGACAGCAAATACAAACTGCAAAAAAAAAAGAGGGGCGGAATGGAGATTCGAAGAAAAAGAAATACTACCACAATGACTTACAAATCTGGAGGAGTTGTCATTTTTCACAGTTTTGCTGTTCCCAAAAGCTTCTAATATAGGATTAGCTTGAAGTAACTGATGTTCCAGTTCACCCTAAAAAGAATGGCTATTAAAAAGAACATATTATAGCCAAAAAAACAAAGCTTAAGCGCACTAAACCACTAAAATAAAGCACAAAAGCCACAATATAAATTAGGAATAAGAACACAGAAGCAGTGCAATACCAGATTAAAAGTGTGCAAAAGAAAAATTAGCTATTTCCACCAGAGTAATTTAAAACTTTGTCTGATCTAATATTTCAAAATGATTTCTGGATATTAATTGCTTACAAAACCATAAAAAGCGCCCAATATCAAAAATGAAATGGAAGCTAAAAATCATCGGACTAGCAATAGGTTACTTTCAAGATAATCTCATGAAAGAAAAAATTTAAGCCTTGACGGCTTATCTGCCTATGTTTTAACCCAACACTACTTCTGTGTAAGAAAAAAAAACGTAAAATGAATTGAGGAACAAAGTAAGTTCAAGGAACGACGAGTTGTACTTAACGACTTTTTAAGGGTTATTTTTATTTAAACTATTGAAAATAACCAGGTAATTACAATAAGAAAAACATGCAAGAAATGGAGTAGAAGAAAGGGTGTCATGAACTATAGTGAACGACTTACGATGACGTTCTGCAAATCCTGACGAGGCTGCAAACCAAATAATGTGTTACACTGTTAATTTTGTGGTGTCAATGATTAAATGCAAATCAACTTCGCACAAAATGCAAAGATAACAAACATGCAAAAATGTTGAATACAGTTAAAATCATGGAACTTTTGAATAAGTGAATAAATCTGATTAAATTACAACAACCAATGAAGCTCAAAGGAGAAGCTTAGACTTAACCCAAAAACTCGTCGAACGAAAAATGTAAATAATGAGATCCCTCAGTAGTTGTTATGCATGCGCTTGGGACGGTATACAAATAAACCAGAAGAAAAGTTGCCAAATGTTTTTTACAAAAATAGAAAGAGCTGGTTCTTTTTCAAATTTTTTTCTCAACAGCAGGATCTCATTCGTGAAAAACTTCACTCTTTAGCAAAATCGTTTCTTAATCTTGGAAGCTTTAATACTAAGAAAATATTGAAATAGCTCCTTTAAAAAGGTAAGCAATTTTACTAAGAAAATATTTAAAAGAAATATTTACAAAATAAGTCATGAAAAAATACCTTCATCGGCGAAGATGTTTTACTCTGACGAGTAGCACCAGCAACATAGGCAAGATACTGAATAACTTTTTTCGTATTTTCAGTTTTGCCAGCGCCAGATTCACCACTACAAAAAGTCAATTTATAAATGTAACTTCATTACCTCAAAGCTAAGAAATAAAAAAACAGATTTGAATAGGACTTCCAATAAGAATGTAATGAAATAAAGTATTATTCAATAAGCTAAAGAATCCCTCACGTGCAGAGTATAGACTGGTCCTCTCGCTCTGAAATTTTGCAGTAAGATTAAATTTTCATTACAAATGAGCTAGACGAAAGACTGCTTTCAGAAACAGAGCGATACCTTGAAGCATAGACCGATATGCTGTATCGGCTATAGCAAAAATATGTGGAGGCATCTCTCTCCGTTTTTTCCCTTTATATGCCTCTATTATTGCTTCAGAATAAATGGGAAGCTTCTTGTACGGGTTTACAACAACACAAAAAAGTCCCGAATATGTCTGAAAGCAGTGATAAAATTGTGTATTCGCAAGTTCGAAACAGACGGCAATGAGCAAACAGCGAGCAGCCATAAAAAATACATCATAAAGAAAAAACTTACATATATAAGAGAAGAAAAATACCGCTCTTTTAAATTGTGAAGCACACAAGCCTCGTTTAAGCATGTCAAATCCGCCATATCTTCTACTTTTTCAAATTTTGGTGGATTCATCTTTTGGACGTCATCTTTACTAACTATTACTTTCTGGAAAGCAATAAACAAATACACTGAAAGGTAATCTTATTGAAGCACTTTTACAGCGAAAGCAATCAACTTACTCTAAGTACCTTTGAAAAACAAAAGTTTTGAAACCTTCTTTTAAACATTGTAACAAATCAATATTAAAAAACTTAAAAATATGAGTTCTTTACTATTTACGACCTCAATTTCCTGAGCTGCGATTACGGTTCCTAACACTTCATAGTAGCAGAAAGTAAAAAAGCAAAACATCATCCGCAACAAATACTATTCTGTTTACCAGATATGACATCGCTAACTCAGTGAACAAGCAAATTCCTTTAAGAACACAGTAAGTCGGTTATTTCAGGAATCCCTCCATAAATTATACGCAAAATAAGTAATGTTTACCTTCCCAGTTTCAACAACTTCAACTACCACATCATCGCCTCGATCCTCCTTCATTGATCCAGCCACAAACCCCTCAGTTTCATGAGGTATCCATACCAGTTTTTTCTTTGACCACTCTCCCTGCATTGCCGGATTGGCAATAGGGTCCTTTTGAACCTGTCGAAAAATCGTTCCTTAACGGCTAAGAACCAATGGAAAAATAAACAACTAAAATACCCTTAAAAATCTCAGTCACTTAAACTTCGACTGAAAAGACACTGCATTAAAAAGAAGAACAAAGCTTAAGTACTTGTTTTTCAAAACTGCGGTCAGAAACTGCTCATGAAGATAAGGTAAAAGTCCGGTGTAGAATTATGAGGAATTTCTAGTGCTTATCAATAAATCAAAACAAAAAAAGAAATAATTTGTAAACTCAATAAGAGAAAAATGCATACCGTGAGATAGGAGATGCCATTAGTGGCACTCTCTGCCATTTTCAGCGATTTAGCTTTCCTCCTCCAAACCCGCCAAATCGATGAACAAGCTTAGCTCCCTAAAAAGTTTCAGAGCAAGAGAGAGTGAGCCTTTCTTTGTCAAAAAATAAGTCGCTAAAACAAGGCGCTACAAAGTAATCATAAGTTTTGTTAAAAACAGTGCAAGGTCCCGTGCTTAAACCGTTCTGAATAATAAACTGAAAGAAATATTTTAAACTGGTAAAAAAAAAACGAAAAAAAAATAAGCCCATACAACGCTACTATTCTTTAGCGAAATAAATAATATCAGCACCCGGAACTAAGGTTAAGGCTAATTATGACAAACTTCTAAATGAGAGATGATTAAACATAAAACATCTTTCTGGCTTCCTGTTAGTATTCGTATACAACAACCATCAAAAGACCTGCTTACCTATCTACGCATTAAAATTTACTCATTACATTTCAGTATACGCAGCAACAAATAACAATCATATATCGA